GTTATCCTTGGAATGTGTTTGGAAAGTCTGCCTAGAATTTGCTTTGGATTTCTGCAGTACCTACAAATTCCCTGAGAGTGACAATTTGTTGCTTCTTACCTTAATAGTTTTCCTGCTCTTTGGAATGACCACATGTAACTGAATAATTTAGTTTAGCTTCTTTTTTTATTTGTTTTATGATTTCTATATGAATGGTTGTGAAGAATTACTAAACATTATTGTGAATCTGCAATTGTTTTTCTCTCTCTCTCTCTCTCTCTCTCTCTATATATATATATATATATATATATATATGTGTGTGTATGTATGTATGCGGGTGGGGGAGGGGCTGGAATAATACCGCTAAAGCTTATTGAAGAAGGACAGGAGGTAAAAACTTACTAGTTACACTAATTTACGTGAGGGGATTAATTCTCCTCATCTGCTAGGTTTCACATCAGCAAGTGTGCTAGTGGAAGTTTCCAGTCTGGTGTTTAGGGGTGATGTGAAATCTTTATAGTGGCACATAATCACACAAAATACAGTCTCAGATGTCATCTTCACATTTATAAGCGGATTAAAAAGCCCATTGTGCTGCTTAACACCACGGTTTGAAAATATATTTCTAACACACTTGCAGAAAAGACCTGTCTGGCTAAACCCCTTACAATAGATTCTTCACTATAATCCAGAGGTCAGCTTGACACTGATGAGAACTGATAAGAAGAAAATGCTGCCTGTGGATAGACACCTTCATTCTTAAAGATTTTAACCCATGCTGTGGACTAGAAGCTATGTATAAGGTAGTAGGTTACTGCCTGAAATGAGTCGTGGCATTTAAATTGACAAAACTTGTGTGCCAGTGCTTGACAAATCTGTGGTGCCAGGTCACCATGGCGACACAAATTATAGGACCAAGTGCCAAAATTGCCTGTAGATCAGGAGATATGAATAGATCTTCCATACCTGGGTTCCCTGGCACACGTCTTTTATTATGGTTACTTTCCTGCCCACTGATGATCAGCACTGTTGGTGATGAGAAGGAAGAGGAGATTGGAGATTTGCAACGCAGTCCATGGCATTAATGCAGAAAGATCTGAATGATGATAGCCAGTGCCGTGAGGAAATGATATATAGTGCCATCACATTTTGTAGCACTGTACAATGGGATAGTGCTGCACCCGTCCCATCTCCTCTCTTTTATCATTAATAACAGAGGGTAATAGCATTGGGGTGAAGAGGAAAATGAATAAGTGTGTATCTAATTAAGAACATATGTATATGTGCAAATGTGTGTTTGTCAATATATGACAATGTGTGGGTTGTTTTTTTTTTGCTAGCTATGTGTGCAGTTAGTTTGGTACATGTATATGGGAGTTGCTGCTGTGATGCGATTTTGAGTGTAGTTAATAAGGTATGCGAGTGTGTGTAAGAGTATTGCTAACTCTGTGTTGCTCATGAAAAATGGGTCTCCTAATTGGCCTTAGCCTAAACATCCACAGGGAATTTATCAAGGACTGTTATATGCTGATTTGTATATCACTGCATGGCATTCTAGTAGTGGGGTAGGTGTATATATATTTTCTCTAAACTTTGTGCTTAAAGTGGATTTCTGTCGAAGGAACGCTTCCCATAAGGCAGGGCTCTACAAATCCCAGGTCGCCATGGCAACTTGAAATTTTGTCCTGACGCCTGGGATTCGAAGGCAGGATGGGGGAAGAATGGGGCCGGTCGGCTCAGTGAGCGTGCAGACTGCCGCCCTGGGGATCTTGGAGCCGGGGCCCTGGGCTGCATGGAGGAAGCTGCCCTGGGGATCATGCAGGCTGGGGCAGTGCGGGAGGGAGCAGTAATCTACCTGCAGCTCCTCTCTGCTCCTTCGCGATGTATAGTGATGCCAGGAGCCGGAATATGACGCCATTTCTGCCCCGTCATCACTACAGGGAGCAGAGAGGAGCTGCAGGTAGATTATTGCTCCCTCGCACATAGGATGAGCGAGCAGCCCCACTGGACCCCAGGGAAAGTCAACTCAGCTCTCCCAGCTAGAAAGGCTGGGTGGATTAAAATGGAAAATGTCAATTTGTGTGTGTGTCCATGTGTGTGTCTCTCTCTCTATCTGTCAATGTGTGTGGGTGTGTCTGGGTGTGTCTCTGTCTGAGTGACTGTCACTAGAGGTGCTACTAAGCAGCAATATAAACACTGCCTTTTCTCTAAAAAAAAAAAGGCAGCATTTACATTGAAAAGGCTACAGGGAAAGACTTATAGGCACTAGAACAACTACCTTAAGCTGTAGTGGTTCTGGTGACTATAGTGTCCCTTTAAGAATTGTATTTTTTTTTGTAAATTAAACTTTGCTAGTTTAAAAAAAAAAAACTGGCTCCTAATTTTTTAGCTGGCTCCTAGATTCCAAACAAATTTGTCAAGCCCTGCCATAAGGATCAGATAAGAACTGCAGTTATATTAAAAAAAATATATATATATATATATATATATATAACTTGCTTTAAAGGAACACTATAGGGTCATGAACACAAACATGTATTCCTGACCCTATGGTGTAAAATCCACCATTTAGGTGAAAACTCACCTTATTTCCAGCGCCGCGCGGATCTGCCGATGCTGGTCACGCCCCCGATCTGCCTCCTTAGTGACATCATCAGAATTGCAGATTTTTTTTTGCCAATCCATTGCTTTCCCATAGGGAAAAAAAATTGTCAAGGGGGCGGGGCCAAACACTGTTTTGGACAATCCGCACCTACTCATAGAGATGCATTGAATCAGCACCTACTTATAGAGATGCATTGGCCTCCCCCTCAGCCCCCTTAAAAGGAATTAAAACTCACCTTATTTCCAGCGTTGTGCGGGACCGCCAGCTTTGGCCACTCCCCCGATCCGCCTCCCTGAGTACATCAGCAGAATAGCCGATTTTTCACCAATCCCTACGGGATAGCATTGTATTGGCTAAAATCGGCATGGGGCGGCGCCAAACACCATTTGGCAATCAGCACTCCTAATTTATGAGGAAAATTCAGCGTCCCCATGCAGTGTGTGGAGACGGTGAATGGCACTGCTGCCTACTGTGCACCACAGCCCCAGAAAGCACCTCCAGTGGCCATCCACTTGGAGGTGTCCACTGGGCCAATGTAAACACTGCATTTTCTCTGAAAAGGCAGTTTGCATTAAATTGCCTGAAGGCAATGATTATACTCACCAGAACAACTAAATTAAGCTGTAGTTGTTGTGGTGACTATAGTGTCCTTTTAAAGGGGCACTCCAGACCCCTAAAGCACTTGAGCTTGCTGATGTGGTTTCTGTGTAAAGAGTGTGACATGTTTATAAATACTCACCCTGGTTTCAATCAGACATCCTCCTGTTACTTCTTGGTAGTTTAGCTCAGAAGAGATAAAAGCAAGAGGCATGCAGTTGCTTAGAGCACTTGCCTTGCACATATTTCTCATTGAGCTGCATTGGGAAGTCTTGGGCAGTCACAGAAAATCTGGGCTGGGGGAGAGAACTTGCAAAGGCTTCAAACATGAGATCTGCAGCTTTAGCAAGCTGTTTTAAGATATAAAATGCATGAATGTTTTCACTGGGGTATATCTACAAAACAATTGTTGTTTTTTTTATGATAAAAAAGGGTATGGGCAAAAATACATACATTTGTTATATTTTGTGCATAGCCATTAATATAATTTTGTTCTCCTCTATCCATGACATCTGCAGTTTGCCAGAAAGAGACTATCTACTGACTGTGCACACCACTGCCCCAAAGTTATATGTGATTGTGATAATTCTGTGTTTAAAGGAGCACTCCACACACCTAAAGCACTCTAGCTGGATGAAGTGCTGATGTGAAAAGTGTGTCTTCCTTCATTCATTTTACAAAAAGTGCAGATTTTAATATAAATGTATAGACTTAGTTACACCACTGGCTGTCAATCAGACAACCTGTCTTATTACTCTTTGAGATTGAAACTTTGCACTTTTTCCAAAATAATCTGCGGTTTAATTGACTCCTGAGTGTCTGGACCACAATTTTGTTCAAACCATTACGGTATGGGCAGCCAACCCCAGGTCTGGCAGCACCAGGACCCAATAAGAGTGCAGAATTCCTCCTTTTTTGTTATACATTGAGATTGGATAGGGACAGAAAGTCTAGGGTAAGGTTAGAAGGGAAGTGCTTGCAAAGGCTGCAGACACGAAATCTGCAACTTTTGCAAGCTATTTTTAGTTATACCCCCAAAGAAAAAAGACATAATTAAATGCATGCATGTTTTTATTGGTAGTATATCTACTAAACTGTTAAAATATATACTTCCATTGGAGTGACCCCTAATGCTATGGAGCAATACACCCACACTCAGAGATACGTTTTTATATTTTGCAGGTATTTTGGGAATCGGCATTCCCTTAATACCAGCAAATTATTTATAAACAACATCACATTGTGAAATCAACATATTATTTTAGATTTGAATTGATTTTTCCTTTCTTATCAACCAGCTGGGGGGACTACAATACAATTAGAAAACAGTGAAATTGCTCATACGTTATACTACACTTCTGCTAAGGAATTAAAAGAGAGGAAAAAAAAATCTATAAATGCATATAGTTTATTTTTAGCTTTTTTCTTGAGTAGCAGTCTGTACACATGAATGCTGTTTTGTCCTAATTTCATGTGCTAGCTAGGCATCTCACATTTCCAGTAACTATTATTTAATTATTTTAATTGATTCTGTAGTTAACGAGTTAAGATTGCTGCCTACATGTGTGTGTATGTATAATTAATATATATATATATATATATATATATATATATATATATTTATATATATATATTTAAAATAGATGGTTGCACTCTCGGACTTCCATAAAATATAACTTTTATTACAGCATTTAAAACAGGATCAACGTTTCAGTCCTCCTTGGGGACTTTCATCAGGATCATGTGATCCTGATGAAAGTCCCCAAGGAGGACTGAAACGTTGATCCTGTTTTAAATGCTGTAATAAAAGTTATATTTTATGTAAGTCCGAGAGTGCAACCATCTATTTTAAATATATATATATATATATATATATATATATATATATATATATATATATATATATATATATATATATATATATATAATTTAAAATAGATGGTTGCACTCTCGGACTTACATAAAATATAACTTTTATTACAGCATTTAAAACAGGATCAACGTTTCAGTCCTCCTTGGGGACTTTCATCAGGATCATGTGATCCTGATGAAAGTCCCCAAGGAGGACTGAAACGTTGATCCTGTTTTAAATGCTGTAATAAGTTATATTTTATTGAAGTCTGAGAGTGCAGCCATCTACTTTAACTACTTGAATACTGGAGCCCTGGTAATGCACCCGGCCATGGAATTTTGAAGCCAGAGTGCAAGGTACTGTACCTCTCCTTTTGTTAAAGTTAAATTTTATTTTTACACCTTTGGAGTCCTGGGAGTGCTATCTCTACATATATATATATATATATATATATATATATATATAATGTAGAGATAGCACTCCCAGGACTCCAAAGGTGTAAAAATAAAATTTAACTTTTATTTTCCAAATTTAAAAGATCAACATTTCAGTTTGTCACCCAAACATTCATCAGGATTATCATAGGCGTGCGCACGGGGTGTGCCGGGTGTGCCTGGGCACACCCTAATCCCCGTGGCACGCCTATGGTTTGAGTCCTGCAGGAACAGCGTTCCTGCACTCTTTTGAGCAGGAACGCTGTTCCTGCAGGCACTCAGTGTCCCCCGTCTCACCTCTTGCCCCTGTCATGGGAGGGCAAGAGGTGATGATTCCCCCCCCACCCCCCCCCCACCCTGCAGCTCAGCGCGCGGCGAGGGAGCTCTCTGCTCTCTGCTCTCTGCTTCCTCTCGCCGCGCGCTGATGCCGGGAGCCGGAATATGACGTCATATTCCGGCTCCCAGCTCGAGCAGACAGCCCGCGCGGCGAGAGGAAGCAGAGAGCAGAGAGCTCCCTCGCCGCGCGCTGAGCTGCAGACTGTGAGTGTGAGTATGTGTCTGTGAGTGTGAGTGTGTGTGTCTGTGAGTGTGAGTATGTGTCTGTGAGTGTGTGAGTATGTGTGTGTCAGTGTGTGTGAGTGTGTCTGTGAGAGTGTGAGTATGTGTCTGTGTGTGTGTCAGTGTGTGTCTGTAAGTGTGTGAGTATGTGTCTGTGAGTGTGTGTCAGTGAGTGTGTGAGTATGTGTCTGTGAGTGTGTGAGTATGTGTCTGTGAGTGTGTGAGTATGTGTCTGTGAGTGTGTGAGTATGTGTCTGTGAGTATGTGTCAGTGTGTGTGTCAGTGTGTGAGTATGTGTGTGTGAGTCTGTGAGTGTGTGTCAGTATGTGTGTGTCAGTGTCTGTGAGTGTGTGTGTCTGTGAGTGTGTGTGTGTTTCTGAGTGTGAGTGTGTGTCTGTGAATATATATATATATATATATATATATATATATACACACACACACACAGTGTGTTTGTGCTTTAGGGTGCACACCCTAATGCAATAGGCTGCGCACGCCTATGAGGATTATATATATATATATAGTGAAAATGACCGCAGTCCAAGGACTTGATGTTGGTAATAATAAAATATAACTTTTAATTTATATCATTAAAAAATATTGACGTTTTTAGCTCCAGTACATGGGCTTTCATCAGGATGGCAATAAAATAATGCCATCCTGATGAAAGCCCATGTACTGGGGCTGAAACTTCGATTTTTTTTTAATTATATAAATTAAGTTATATTTTATTATTACCAACACTAAGTCCTTGAAGTGCGGTCATTTTCACTTTTTCTGTATTTTGTGCCTGACCAGCAACGGGCATTAATTCCAAGCAGTGTGTGTGTGTGTGTGTGTGTGTGTGTGTGTGTGTGTGTGTATATATATATTTGCAAGAAAAAGTATGTGAACCCTTTGGAATGATATGGATTTCTGTACAAATTGGTCATAAAATGTGATCTGATCATCATCTAAATCACAACAATAGACAATCACAGTCTGCTTAAACTAATAACACACAAAGAATGAAATGTTGCCATGTTTTTATTGAACACACCATATAAACATTCACAGTGCAGGTGGAAAAAGTATGTGAACCCCTAGACGAATGGCATCTCCAAGAGCTAATTGGAGTGAGATGTCAGCCAACTGGAGTCCAATCAATGAGATGAGATTGGGGGTGTTGGTTACATCTGCCCTGCCCTATAAAAAACACACACCAGTTCTGGGTTTGCTTTTCACAAGAAGCATTGCCTTGATGTGAATGATGCCTCGCACAAAAGAGCTCTCAGAAGACCTACGATTAAGAATTGTTGACTTTCATAAAGTTGGAAAGGGTTATAAAAGTATCTCCAAAAGCCTTGCTGTGCATCAGTCCACGATAAGACAAATTGTCTATAAATGGAGAAAGTTAAGCACTGCTGCTACTCTCCCTAGGAGTGGCCGTCCTGTAAAGATGACTGCAATGAGGTGAAGAAGAATCCTAGAGTGCCAGCTAAAGACTTGCATAAGTCACTGGCAAATGCTAAGATCCCTGTTAGCGAATCTACAATACGTAAAACACTAAACAAGAATGGATTTCATGGGAAGATACCACAGAGGAAGCCACTGCTGTCCAAACAAAATATTGCTGCACGTTTACAGTTTGCACAAGAGCACCTGGATGTTCCACAGCAGTACTGGCAAAATATTCTGTGGACAGATGGAACCAAAGTTGAGTTGTTTGGAAGAAACACACAACACTATGTGTGGTGAAAAAAAGGCACAGCACACCAACATCAAAACCTCATCTCAACTGTGAAGTATGGTGGTGAAGGCATCATGGTTTGGGGCTGCTTTGCTGCGTCAGGGCCTGGGCGGATTGCTATCATCGAAGGAAAAATTAATTCCCAAGTTTATCAAGACATTTTGCAGGAGAACTTAAAGCCATCTGTCTACCAGCTGAAGCTCAACAGAAGATGGGTGTTGCAACAGGACAATGACCCAAAGCATAGAAGTAAATCAACAGAATGGCTTAAATAGAAGAAAATACGCCTTCTGAAGTGGCCTAGTCAGAGTCCTGACCTCAACCCGATTGAGATGCTGTGGCATGACCTCAAGAAAGCGATTCACACCAGACATACCAAGAATATTGCTGAACTGAAACAGTTCTGTAAAGAGGAATGGTCAAGAATTACTCCTGACCGTTGTGCACGTCTGATCTGCAACTACAGGAAACGTTTGGTTGAAGTTATTGCTGCCAAAGGAGGTTCAACCAGTTATTAAATCCAAGGGTTCACATACTTTTTCCACCTGCACTGTGAATGTTTACATGGTGTGTTCAATAAAAACATGGCAACATTTCATTCTTTGTGTGTTATTAGTTTAAACAGACTGTGATTGTCTATTGTTGTGACTTAGATGATGATCAGATCACATTTTATGACCAAATTGTGCAGAAATCCATATCATTCTATTCTCTATATATATATATATATATATATATATATATATATATATATATATATTATATATTTTTTAGTGTATAGATCATGCTTCTCCGGTTTCAATCTGAGAAACTACTCAATTAACTGCCATTTAGGAGTTAAATCACTTTGTTTCTGTTTATGCAGCCCTTGTCACACCTCCTCTGGCTCTGATTAACACAACCTGCATGGAAAAAACTGGTTTCACGTTCAATCAGATGTAATTTACCTTAAACAATTGTATCTTTTTCTCTGTAAACTGAACTTTAATCACATACAGGAGGCTCTTGCAGGGTCCAGCAAGTTATTAACATAGCAGGGGATAAGAAAATCTAAATTAAACAGAACTTGCAATAAAGGAAGGATAAACTTTAGATGACTTTTTACAGGAAGTGTTTAGGAAGGCTGTGCAAGTCACATGCAGGGAGGTCTGACTAGGGTTCATAAACAAAGTGATTTAACTCCTAAATGGTAGAGAATTGAGCAGTGAGACTGCAGGGACATGATCTATACACCAAAACTGCTTCATTAAGCTAAAGTTGTTTTGGGCACTAAGGTGTCCCTTTAAGATTGTATTAAAGGACAACTATAGTGCCAGGAAAACAAACTCGTTTTCCTGGCACCATTAGGTCCCACCTACCCTCAGGGACCCCGTCCCGGTGGGCTGAAGGGGCTGGGGAACTTGCCTCCCTCTGTCGACATTAGCTCCGAATGCGCATGCCTGGCAAGAGCCGCACGCGCATTCAAACCGCCCATAGGAAATCATTACTCAATGCTTTCCTATGGATGTCCAGTGTCTTCTCACTGTAATCTTCAGAGTGAGAATTGCAGAAGCGCCTCTAGCGCCTGTCAGTGAGACAGCCACTAGAGACTGGATTAACCCTCAGTGAAACATAGCAGTTTCTATGAAACTGTTATGTTTTCAGCTGCAGGGTTAAAACTAGAGGGGCCTGGCACCCAGACCACTTCATTGAGCTGAAGTGGTCTGGGTGCCTATAGTGGTCCTTTAACTATCCACAGACTTCAGGTGGAAGGGGTTTTCAATCACAATTTTTCCCCACCATAACCGATTTGGAGAGAGTATATATGTATATGTGTATGTGTGTATATATATATATATATATATATATACACACACTCTCTCTCTCTCTCATATTTAAATGTGCTTCCTATGTTGTATTTAATTTGGATCTGCATGGAAAGGAAATGGTGTAATGGAATGTGTTGGCTAATTGGTGGCTGACAAACATTTTTGTTGCTCAGATAAGAGGCTTATTTTACTGGATCCTGCAGGACGAGAATCACATTGTGATTTATGAACTACAGAATAGTGTTTTGTTTTTAGAAACCGCCCACAGTAAGTGCTGCTGTGCCATCTTTTCCCACGTAACTAAGGCTCTGTGGCTTTGTCACAGTTGGTGAAATACTTCAATGGACTGTCCACATGCTGCCTGTTTTGCCATGCTATAAAAAGGATTAGATTAAGGGGCAGTGATCAGTCCTCATGGTCTGTTGATATTTTGTATGTGGATATATCATGGGGTTTAATTTCTAAACAGTGAAATGTGTTGAATTAAAAACTTAGTTGTAAATTTCGAATCAAATAGCTGGGTCGGGGTAAAACTGTGCGATTTAACTTTTGTTTGCATGTGTTTTGCCCTAGTTTTGCTT